ACGTGTAATAAATGACTCATTTATCCTTTTTTTCAACTGAGGTCCCTTTCCTTCATTTTCTACTGTAAATACAGAACAAAAATATTCATTGAGGCAGTCAGCCTGACCTTTATCCTCTTCTACATACCTTCCTTCTTTTGTTTTTAATCTAACTAATCCTTGTTTTACTTTTCTTTTCTCATTTATGTATCTATGTTTATGAATATGTTTCAACAAATTATATTTCAGTTTCTATTAAACTAATTACATTAAAGCAACCATAGCCCATCAACATATTGAGTACTTGGTGATATTATTTCTCAATGTTCACCAAGTAGTATTCTGTTTACCCTGGCTGTTGAAGAACTTTGGAAATTTATCAATAAACGGAATGAGCGGTATGAGTTATTTTACTTCCCTTACAGAGTAAATACTAAATACTTTACTAAATACATGACTTTTATTTAACAAAACAGTATTTTTTGGCACTTTATGGGTTATTCGCAAATGTCGCCTCTTTAATAAATATTGCAAGATAAAATTCATTGGGAATTCTTGATCTTCTTTGTGCATTAAATATTCTATGGTTTGTTAGCCAATGTCTGTTTACAAGAGATAGCTCTGCAGTAAAGGTCTGTATACCCTAATATTATATTTATCGTGGCTTATTACACCTCTGCTTTTTTACTCCTGTAATGAGCAAATATTTTAAATATCAGGACTATTTATATCAGGGCTATCAGGGCTATTGATTAACCCCTTAAGGACACATGACATGTGTGACATGTCATGATTCCCTTTTATTCCAGAAGTTTGGTCCTTAAGGGGTTAAACACTGGATTTTGCCCAATGGACAAAATCTTGTAAAAATGACAGAATTATAACTGCATTGTCAATTTGCTGTTAGGATTGGCTAGAGGATCCCCTGCATGGTGAGAGGCAGCGACCTAACAAAGGCAAACCCAGGCAAATAGGAAGAGGATGGTGGGACCGTGTTACCGGACCTTATAGTGGCTGCACTTAATGTAAAGCAGGAACTAGGAAGTAACAGGACTATACTTAAAAAATACTACATGCCAGGCCCAGGCAGGCCCGGACTGGCCATCGGGCACACCGGGCAAATGCCCGGTGGGCCGCGGTGGCCGTGGGGCCGAGGCCGGCAGGGGAGGTCCCAGGATCTCCCCTGCCGGTCTATGCATGGCCGGCACTATCCGAGCGCCGGCCCCGCTGTCTTCCATGGAGGGCCGGTGGGGAGATCAAAGAGCTCCCTCACCGGCCCATTTAAATAGACCTGCGGCTGGGGAGGGAGGGAGAGGACCCGGCGGAGCTCTATCTTGCAGCTCCGCCGGGTTCCTCTCGCGAGATCCGGCGCGTTGCCATGGCAACGACCGGATCTCGCGAGCGTGAACTCTAGCCCGCAGGCTAGAGTTCACTCACCACTGGACCACCAGGGATGATGTGAGTGTGCCGGTCCCCCCTCCTCCCAGCTACCACCATGCCGGTCCCCCCTCCCAGGCTAAAGGTAAGTGGGAGGGGAGATTTAATGCCTACTTAGGTTTTTTTTTTTAATTTCTTTATTTACCCCCCCCACCCCCTTAGTTTTTTATTTACCCCCCCAACACACATTTACACACAGCACTCTCACACACATCATACACAGCACTCTCACACTCATCACACTCTGCACTCTTACACACAGCACTCTCACACTCATCCTCCGCTCTGCACACAGCACTCTCCACTCATCACCTCTGCTCTTACACAGCACTCCTCACACTCGCTCCTCTGCGCTCATCCTCGCACTCATCACCTCTGCACTCTCACACTCATCACACTCTGCACTCATCACACTCTGCACTCATCACACTCTGCACTCTCACACACATCATACACAGCACTCTCACACTCATCACACTCTGCACTCTCACACACATCATACACAGCCCTCTCACACTCATCACACTCTGCACTCATCACACTCTGCACTCATCACACTCTGCACTCATCATACACAGCACTCTCACACTCATCACACACATCATACACAGCACTCTCACACTCATCACACACATCATACACAGCACTCTCACACACATCACACTCTGCACTCTCACGCACATCATACACAGCACTCTCATACACAGCACTCTCACACTCATCACTCACACTCATCACACTCTGCACTCTCACACACAGCACTCTCACACTCATCACACTCTGCACTCTTACACACATCATACACAGCACTCTCACACTCATCACACTCTGCACTCTCACACACATCATACACAGCACTCTCATACACAGCACTCTCACACTCTGCACTCTCACACACATCATACACAGCACTCTCATACACAGCACTCTCACACTCTGCACTCTCACACACATCATACACAGCACTCATCATACACAGCACTCTCACACTCATCACACACATCATACACAGCACTCTCACACACATCATACACAGCACTCTCATACACAGCACTCTCACACACATCACACTCTGCACTCTCACACACATCATACACAGCACTCTCATACTCTGCACTATCATACACAGCACTCTCACACTCAGCACTCTCACACACATCATACACAGCACTCTCACACACAGCACTCTCACACACATCATACACCGCACTCTCATACACACATCATACACAGCACTCTCACACTCAGCACTCTCACATGCATCATACACAGCACTCTCACACTCAGCACTCTCACACTCACACAGCACTCTCACACACAGCATTCTCACACACATCACACTTTGCACTCTCACACACATCATACACAGCACCCACACACACAGCACCCTCACACAAATCAATCACATACAGCACCCACACATACAGCACCCACACTCACACACAGGATCCATCACACACACATACTGCACCCCTCACATACACACACAACCCCCGATACACTGCATCACACACATACACAATACTTCCAAACATATTTATATAATATATATACACATATAAATATACACACAGCACCCCTCACACACACACACACAGCACCCCTCACACACACAGCACCCCTCACACACACACAGCACCCCTAAACACATTTCATTCCAGACACACATTAGATCCTCTACCCAACTCTGGATCATCTACACACATACACACACTAGATCCCTATATACACTCTGAATCCATTATATACGCACGCTCACTAGATCTCCTATACATATTCTGGGTCCTTCAAACACACACACACTCTGGATCCCCTATACGCACACTAGATTCCTTATAAGCAAACACATACTACATTCCCTGAACACACACTCTCTACAAACACTACATCACCTACACACACACACACTATAGCCTGTATACACACACTTGCTACATCCCCTAAACACACATTCTCTAAAGCCCCTAGCCACATATGCATTACATTACACCACAAACACAACACGACTAAAACCGACCTTATTACACAATACCACACCACGACCAGCTCACTCTGCACACACGCAATACCCCAAGCAGGCTCCAAAACACATGCACAATACTCTTTCCTGACCCATTTGTCTCCTGGTATCCATTTATAGAGACACCAGAGACAAGTTGCAAGGAAACACAGTGCAAGCATGTTATTAAATTTGCTTGCACTGCGCAGAACAAATACAGGGCTTTTTTCTCATGCTAGAGCTCTTCAGCAGAACTCTGTGCATGGTCTGCCCTGGAAGAGCATTGAACCAACATGCTCACTTTGAGAGGGGGCGTGTTTGTCATGAGTGATGACAAAACACACCCTCTCTGCCCCGCCCCCTTCTTAGTGGGCCGCTGTGATAAAAAAATGCCCGGGCCGAATTTTTTTCCCAGTCCGGCCCTGGGCCCAGGGGAGGAACAAAAAATAAAAAACAATATCCGACACAGGAAAAGATCAGGAGCAAGAGAAAAGCAATGTTCTGAACAAGCCAGGGACCGGTACAGATGTCAGGTAGCAAGACAAACCAGGGGCCTGAACACAAAATCAGGTAGAAGTAATAGGCTTGGTCAGGTACACTCGTACAAGAGAACAGAATGTAGTCAGGTAAGCCAGGTCACACATATTTATTTTTTCTCTCCTCAGACTTTTTGTTGGGGGCTAGGGCAGTTAACTAGGTGGCAGCAGTGAGACTGCCAGAGGCCGGTACAGGCAAATGTGGCAGCCGGCTAGCAGCAGGGAGGAGTGAGAGCACTGAAAGTCTCTCTCACAAAAGCTCCTTTGCCATTTCCAGCTCTGCATAGCAAGTCTGTTAGGAGTCAACCCCAGCACTGGAGCTCTGCTCCATGTCCCATCCAGCTCACCTCTCACACAGAAAAAGAGAGAACTTCATGAAGAAACCTCACACTACCCTCAAAGTCCCCACTGCCACTGCCAGTGATAGGTAATTATATGTTACCCAGCAGACTAATAGTGATTATGTGTGTGTATTTATCAGTTAGCTTGTCTATAGTGAGCTTGTGTATGGGTCAGATAGCTTATGTGTGTCAGTGAGCTTGTCTGGAGTGTGCTTGTGTGTGTCAGTGAGCTTGTCTGTAGGAAGCTTGTGTGTGTCAGTGAGCTTGTCTATTGTGAGCTTGTGTGGGTCAGAGTGCGTCTGTGTGTCAGTGAGCTTGTTTGGGTCAGAGAGCTCCTATGTGTTAGTGAACTTGTCTTTAGTGAGCTTGTTTGTCAGTGAGCTTGTATATAGTGTGCTTGTAAGTGTGTGCCAGTGAGTTTGTAGTGTGCTTATGTGTTAAGCAGGGTCAATCACAACAGACCGGTGGCGGCCTGGAGGGTGGGTGTTACAGCACTGTATTACCCATGGATAATCTGGAGTGTGGGGCTGCAGGAAGGAAGCACTTTAACAATATTTTGAATTAAAAATAATATAAAAGCATTAGTATTAAACCAGAAATTGCATAACAAATTAACCCCTTAAGGACACATGATGGAAATCTTTCATCATGCTAGTCTTTTACTTCTGAAGCTGTGTCCCTAAGGGGTTAAGTCAGGAAACACTATAGTATCCAGCTTTTATCATCTGTCAAATGATACAATTTGAGCAGAATATTGCTTTGCTGCAAAGGGATTTAGATAGATTGGGGGATTGGACAGTCAAATGGCAGATTAAGTTTAATGTAGAAAAATGTAGTTATGCACTTCAGGGCAAAGAACGCACAAGCAATTTACAAACTTAATGGTAGTGAATTAGGTATAACACATGAAATGGATTTGTGAATTGTTATGGACAACAAATTAGGCAACAATGTGCAATGCCAATCAGCAGTGGCTAAGGCCAGTAAAGTATTGTCATGTATAAATAGGGCGTTCTCAGGATGAAAATATAATGCTGCCTCTTTATGAATCACTGCTCAGACCACACCTAGCTGTGCAATTTTGGCACCTGTTCTAACGAAGGATATTATGGCACTAGAAAAAGTCCAAAGGCAGACTACAAAATTAATAAAATAAATGGAGCATTTTAGTTATGAAGAAAAGTTAACAAATTTAAATATATGTAGTTTAGGAAAACAGCACCTCAGGGGAGATAGGGTAGCATTATACAAATATATTCAGGGCCAATGCAAATCATTGTGTGGAAATCTATTCATAAACAGGACGATACAAAGGACATGAGGTCATGCATTTAGATGGAATAAAGGAGATTTAGTCTAAGGCAAAGGAAAGCGTTTTTTACAGTAAGAACAATAAATATGTTGAATGCGTTGCCTGTAGAGGTGGTTTATCAGAGTCTATACAGATCTTTAAACATATAGATTATTTATAGTAGCAGCATTGAGCAACATAGTCATACAAATACAGGGTTATTCACTAAATTGAGAAATCAAAGTTAATTTCAAATTCAAAGTAAAAATAGCTGAAATGGAAACATTCTCAAACTCAATTATGTTTACAGTTCAGCTACTTTAGCCTTAAATTTTAAATTCACTTTCTAACATTAATAAATAATCCTGATATAATAACAGGGTTATTTACTAATGCAAAAATTCTAAGTAAATTTCAAGTTTCAGGTCAAAATAGCTGAATTGATAACATTTTCTAAGTCTATAATTTAAAATTCACTTTTAATTCACACTTGATAATGGAAATGTTTCAATATAAGAAATAACAGAAAGCAGGGGGCCGGTGCCAACCACCCACCTACCTGTATGGACGCGTTCTAACAGAGCTTCCCAATCACAGACCTGTATGGACGCATTCTAACAGAGCTCCCCAATCACTGACCTGTAAGGACGCGTTCTAACAGAGCTTCCCAATCACCGACCTGTATGGCCGCATTCTAACGGAGCTCCCCAATCACTGACCTGTAAGGACGCATTCTAACAGAGCTTCCCAATCACCGACCTGTATGGCCGCATTCTAACGGAGCTCCGAGGTTCAGACGATACAATCCATACCTTTGCCTGAAGATTTAATCTAATTTCCGAGTGAACTACTCCAAAAGGGAAATGCTACCTTTACATATAACTGAACATGTCACAGCCACCCTAAAAACCTCTTACTCCTTCACGTGGGCTGATTTAGCCATCAAATATTTAGGGTTTCAATTATTGAAAGATTTCTCCAAACTTTACAAACTAAATTATACCCCACTAGTTTACAACCTGTCGCAAGACCTGACATCATGGAACAAACCCCACTTCAACTGGATTAGTAGAAGTAACATATTAAAAATGAATACTTTACCAAAAATTGTGTATTTGTTACAGGTTCTCCCCATTGCATTACCTAAATCCTTCTTCTCCACTATTAGATGAACCATCTCGGAATTTATCTGGGGAGGTAAACATCCACAGCTAGCATTCCACACCCTAACTTGACACAAGGTCTCCCAGACATAAAATTATATCACAAAGCAATAACTTTAACTAGGATATATGACTGGACAAATCTGGCACCACATAAACAGTGGGTCAAATTGGAAAATTATATGTTTTGAATACCAATATACACAATGCCATGGCAGAGTAATGGACATAAACATTTATGCTCTCAATACCAAACTCACCCAACGATCGTACCTGCCCTTAAACTTTGGAACCACATCAGAAACTCACCTAATATCTCTCCACACCCATCTCCTCTCTACCCCATAACCCATAATACCCTCTTCCCACCAGGTCTCCATACCACTGTCTTTAAATCACCTAAAGACTCTAAACACCTTACGTTAGGCTCACTCTTAGAAGATAAGTGCTTAAAATCATTACCCAACATAGTAAACAAAGCACGACCATCACCTTTGGAGTCTTTCTTTTACGTCCTACTTTCTCACTTCATACAGTCTGAACTGTTATTACTGATAGGGGACCATCCATACTCTGACTTTGAAATGAAATGCCACACTCGTATTATGAAAACGAAATATCTAAAATAGACATTTTATAAATTACTACAACTCGAATATAAAAACCAACTCCTATATACACAATATCATGGGTTACGGACCTCCAAATC